ATAATATTTTAATTTTTGTAATATATTAAATATAAGAAAATTGATACAGGATATAGAATAAACCATGAAATAAATAATTAAGCCATCATCAAATTACTATTTTATGAAATTTTTAACCACTTATTTGTTAAACAATAAACAAATATGTTCATGAATATAATAAATAAAATAGTTCACGTCCAAATTCAAAAATTTATTTAATAATATTTATTAAATTTATTTAATTATATAAATCAACAACTATAAATAAATCTTAAACTAATAATAACAACATCAAGCCTTTATCCACTGTGTATGGTTAGTCATATGAATCATTTTTCTTCATTGGTCATGTTAAAAATCAAATTCTCATTTAAAATAATAATCAAAGATCATTTTCTAATACCTTCAATTATTCAAATTAATACATTTTACTTTTATATCAATCTTTCTTAACAAAGGCCAAATTTAATACGTCTGCTCTCCTAAACGGGTCATTGGAAGGCCAACATCGTGCGACCAAACCGTCTAAAACAACTCTCTCCTATCTTATCTGTCATTGTAGCTACTCCAACCTTTTCACGTATATACTTGTTTAATATTCTCTCTCCAAATGTAAAGCTACTCATCAACCTAAGCACCATCATCTTTGCAACAACAAAATACAACATCAAAGCCTTTTTTTCACATAAAATGTCAGTATGACCTGCTTAAGAGAGTAGATGTATGAGATTAGACATTTGCTAACAAGGGAAGACAAAGGTAGGCGTAAAACTAAGAAGTCTCGGTTAAAAAGCATTAGCAATGATTTTTTTTATTAGATTTAAATAATAATTTGACACTTAAATGAACACAATGGAGAAAAAAATCCCTGTTACCGAGTATTAAACTTTTTCATTTGAGTTCACTACAAAATTATAATTGAGATTGCTTAATTGTGATTGCTTAAATGTAATTAACTCTAAATTAAAATTTGATTGAAATAAAAATAATTTGAATATGATTTATTATACTCTAAAAATGTTTTAAGACTTAATAAAACAGAATCAGATATTTTGGCTTTATTGGTGGGGACACGGGGGGAAATTAGAAGGACATCTCCAGTCTCCACGTCGGCAGTTAATCTGTAGAGAGAGAGCGAGAGAGCGTGCGCCCAACTGTGAAAGACTTAAAGTAGCCCAAGAGGGAGAGAGAAAGGGACTTTCTCCTAGCTGCCCACATGGGTTAGGGACTTAACGGTCTTCTCTTGTCTATTCGAATGAAAAAAAAAAAAAATCTGATAATAAAAAAAAAATCTGATAAAATTTTCTTTGAGGATAAATTTTAGGCCTGTTTGGGAAAAAATATTCTTTTAAAGTTGTCGTAAAAAGTAATTTATTAATATAGTAGTCAAATATAAATTGTGGTTAGAATCTCAAAAGTAAAAAATTAAGAAAATTGTCTGAAGTGAAGTCTTTGGCTACCTTTGGGACGCCTTTCTTACTGCTTCTTAAATTAGTTTTTTAGTATAAAAATTTTAATTTTTGTACTAAAAATTATTTTAAGAAGCAATAAAAAGTCGTCTCAAATGAAACCTTAATCTTGTTTAATTTATTTTAAAATGAATAAAAATATAAATATTGATATAAATTCAACAAGATTAAGTCTTTATTTAGGATGACTTTCTTATTGTAAATTTAACATCTTGATATTTATTATAATTAAAATTTGATGGGCATATTAAATTCAAACTCAATTTTTTATTTCAAATTTGTCCTCTCTCTCTCTCTCTCTCTTACTTCCATGTAAGAATTTCATGCTCTTAAGATGTCTCAATTATGGGAAAGATTGTTATGTGTGGATGCCGAATGCAGTTCATTATTCATAGACCAAACAAAATGTGCCACGTCAGTGATACCGAGCCAGGTACCGAGCGAGCGGTACCGAGCCACGATACCAAGCAGGGGGTGACGTGACGCATTATAGTTGGTCTCTAGACAACATTCGACATCCACACAGAATAATTTAACCAATTATGGAGACTCACACTTAGATGTACACTCTAAGCCTTACAATTTTTCTCTCATAATTATTTTTTTTTTTTAAAGTTATCTTCCCTTTGGGACTGTGCACACTGTGCAGTTTTTTATAACACTATTTGACTATTTATAAAGTTAATATTGAGAAAATATTTTTTGAAAGTTATTGCAGAAAACAAGTTATTATTTAAAAAATTAGTAGTTGAACATAAATCATAATTGTAAAATAAAAAATAAAATAATAAAATAGCCCACCAGCCCCGAACCCTTGCCCATTACAACTCTTCTTCTTACTTTAAAATCATTATTATTATTATTATTTAATTTAAAAATCATGTAAACTGATGGTGAGAATAAGATGCAAGTTTCCCCCATAATATTCTGATTAAATCTTTTATCACATTGGTCTCAAAATCATTAATTTATTTTAAATAAATACAGCTTAAATTATTTTTTATACTTCAAATTAAATTCAGTAATTTTGAAACATATCATCATAATCAAAATTTGATCATAATATCATAATATTGTTCTTTTTTTCTTATAATATTTAATCATTTTTTCAAGGCAAAAATTAAATTAAATTATCTTATTTTAATTTCAATTTCTCAATCTTTATAATGTATGTCTATGACTCTAAGCAACTACAAACATATTATAATTAGAATATGAGCTTAAATGAGTGTATTTGTGTTTAATTATGCTCGAAATAGATTAGATAGATAGCTCATAAATTGAGTTGAATGAGCCAAAATATCAACTTCAGTCAAATTTATTGCTTGTAAAAATTTTTTGTACAAAAAATATCTCTAAGAATATCAAGAAAGCTATTACAAATAAAGACTTATTGTTTGTTTTCAGATGACTTTCTTACAACATCATTCTTAAATCAGGTTTCTAGTAACAAAATTTTCATTTTTTAACTAAAAAATTGCTTTAATAAAGCCATCCCAAGCGAAACTTAGGGTTCGTTTGGGACGATTTTTTTATTGCTTTCTAAAACGGAGTTTTAGTACAAATTTTTTTATTTTTGTACTAAAACTCCGTTTTAGAAAGCAGTAAAAAAGCCGTCCCAAACGAAGCCTTAGGCTTCGTTAGAACGACTTTCTTGCTGCTTTTTAAAGTAGCTTTTCAGTATAAAAAACTGCTTTAAGAAACAATAAGAAAGCCATCGCAAACAAAGCTTTAGACTTTATTTGAGATTGTTTTATTATTATTATTTAAAACAGTTTTATGCCATAAAATTTTTTAAAAATAATGAAAAAGTGTATGTGAAAAGCTATCCCAAACAAAACCTTAAGCGTTGTTTAGAACAACTTTTAGATTGTTTTTGTGGTAAGAAAAGAAGTTAGTAAAAATTAATATATGTTTGAAAAATAGTTTTTTCATCACTTTTTTTTTTAATTTTTTTTTAAATTTTTTGACTAAGAAATGAACTAAAAAAATAGAAAAATTTAAACCGACCCAAAAAAAAGCTTATATATGTTTCGGGCTAGAATATACGCGATGATAGAGTTAGGATTTTTCGTCTCAGCGTTGTACGGATATCCATCACATAAACAGAAGAGAACTAAACCACAAGGATTTTTATGTAGAAAGCCCTTGAAAGGGAAAAATCATGGGGTCACGTCTAGTTGAAAGAATTTCACTAGTGTTTACTTGAGTTACAAAATGTTGACTCGTCCTTAAAATTTAGGACGATCAGATTATAATAATCAACTCCTAGGTTGAAATTCAGTTGCAAACGGATATCAGAATGATGGTGTCAGAAAACTGGTGTTCGTTGTTTGTCGGACATAGTTCTATCGTTAATTGGAAGTCGGTAGGAACTCTGACTTCACTTGGAGGTCGGATGAAACTCCAGCATCATTTGGAAGTCGGGCGGAACTCCGGCTTCACTTGAAAGTCGGGCGGAACTCCGAAATCACTTGAAAGTCAGGGGAACTCCGACGGTGGTCAAGTAGGAGCTTCTTCCTTCTCTTCTCTTCTCTTCTTCTCATCTCTTCTTGCTTGCGTCCCCTCTTAAGAGAAATGAGGGTCTATTTATAGTTTTCTGATGATAGCATTGCCAGTAAATAGGAAGAAGATTAAGGGTAAATTTGGAGTGGTTTGAATGGATGGCCGATGTTGAATCCATTGATCCTGGACCGTTTATTAGGCATTCGAAGGCTCTAATGATATCAAAATTTGACGATCTTGGATTCATTGGATTCGTCTCATCGAGCCGATCGATTCAACTATAAACAAGTAATATTTGAAATTGTTTGGTAATACAAATTATGGATTGAACCTTCCAAATGCGCTTTGGGTCTCTGATTTGGACTAGTTTGGGCTCATATTGAGTTTAATTTGGCGTCGTGGGGTTCGTATTTCCGAGACGCTCAGTTCGACTGTAAGTTTTCTAAAATTAGAGTTCAGATGGTCCAAGATTTAATTTTTGAAATTTCCGACCTGATTTTACCTCGAGATTCGTGACAGTTCAAGATAATTTTTCGATGATATATCAATATATATAATGGGTATGAATTTATAAAATTTATAATTTAATTCTCTGAAAAGTAAAAAAAAAAAAAAACTTAAATGGCCTTAAATTGATTAATTTTATGTTAAAAGAACTTTATTTCTTCAACACTATTTTCTGTACCAGATTTGTCCATCTGATTGCCCTCCTTCTCTATCAATCATTCCGCTTCCTGCATGCGCCCCTCTGTCGCCTAGCTCTTGGCACGGAACCTTCCACCTCCTAATATTCACCTCTCACGTCTCTCCCCAATCTCTCATTTCTTCCTCTTCGACTTCATCCGGTTTCTTCGATTCCCCTAATGGCGGCTAACATTTACCCGAACGTCCACTCCACCGCAACCGCCGCCATCGCCGGGGGCACGCCCGCCCTTCAAAACTCCGCCACTCCACACCTCAAATGCCCTCGCTGCGATTCCACAAACACCAAGTTCTGCTACTACAACAACTACAGCCTCGCTCAGCCCCGCCATTTCTGCAGGACCTGCAAGCGCTATTGGACTCGCGGCGGAACCCTTCGCGACGTTCCAATTGGTGGTGGCTGCCGCAAACACAAACGCCACAATAAACCCAAATCCGCCATCGTTGCCGCCTTGCCAAATTCGCCGACCCTTCGCCAGCTGGCTAACCCTCTGCGTCCCCCAGCAGCCGATCTCAGCTCACTGATCCTCCGCATGCCGCCGGCAACTTTGAGTAACCGCTTCTTTCCTATGTTCGAAGAAGCCATTCAATCTGGAATCGAATCTCATCACATCAATACTCTCCAGCAATCGGCGGAAGCGGTCAAGAGCTACCAAGCGCCATTGCTCTGTTATGATGATCTGCCAACGGCGATATGTGAGGGATTGAGTTTGATCAAAGAGAATCCCACGGAAGGAATCTACTCGTTCAACGGCTACAGCTCCGCCGCTGCGGAATCTGCTTATCTCTACGCTTGGCCGGAATCCTGTTCGTCGGTGGTTCGTCTTCTGTAAGTACCCGAAGCGCAACTTAGTTCATCATATAGTAGGTTGTACCTCTACAGTGGTGGGAACGGTTCTAATGGCGCCTAATGCTATTTTGGAGTCATTGTGGCGAGAGGAACCTGGATCCATTAATTCTATCTGCGGAGATTCGATTTCTGTTGATTTCTTCAGATAAAGTTATCAGGAGAACTAAAGGGATTTGGATTGGGGATGATTATCTCTAGTTTCTAGCTAGTAAGTTTGTTTTGTTATATTTGTACAGGCATGCCTTAGTGTTCTTTCTCTTCTTATGGGCTTTGGTCGCCATTAATGAACAGTTTGGTTTGTTGGAAGATGAAAAATGAGAAGATTTGTATCTCTACGTACTTTAGTTTGTGGTTATGGTGAAGCACATCAGGTTTTCCCTGGTAGTTGAATGGTGCAATTAGGGCAAATTTTTTTTAGGGATTAGACAATTTTATTAAATTACAAGATAATATTTTATATTTTGCAAGATAGTAGATTTTATATATTTTGTATAAAATAATTACTTGTTGCTAAATAAGAAGAAACCTACCTAAATCTTGCATAATATTGAGAATTGTCAGAAATTTGAGTTTAATGTTCTTAGGTTGTTTGTGATAAATTTCTCACAACTTTATATTTTCAATAGCAATTATAATTTTATTTAGTGGGGTGTCAAAAAAATGATCCAACCCATCAATCCGACTCGAAAATCTGGATTTTGGGATGACCCATTTAATAAGTGGGTTGGGTTCAGGTTCGGAATTCCGTCCAGTTTATTAAATGGGTTAGTTTTTTATTGACTCGCCAACTTGATTTTGCCTTCAAATGATTCGTTCAATTTTTTTTTTTCCTTAATTTTTTTTTTATGTTTATTGGTATGATTCTTTATTTTTTATTTTTTTATCTTTTATTAATTAACTAACATATATTGTTAAAAAGTAAAAAAACAAAAATCTTAAAATCAAAATTGGGTTCTACTGTATTTTTGACCCATTTATTAAATGGGTTGGTTTCGAGTTGTTCAGATTTAGGTATGATCATTTTTGAGTCAGACCTGAACCCAAATTGTTGACCCGTTTTGACACCCCTACCATTTAGAACAACTTTCTAGCTGCATTGTTTTTCATAATATATCAACCATAATTCGTTTGCTTTTTTTTTTTTCTCATTATTTTTCAAAAAATTTCACGCATAAAAGTTACACTATGCAATCATAACAGCCAAGTTGCTTTATCCACAACAACTTCATAATCAATTTTATAAAATGCTTCAACCATCCCAAATAAACCCTTTGCTCCTATTTTTTATTATTATTGCATGCTTTTTAAAAATTTATGTAGTGAAATTTTAATTTTTCACAATTGGAATTGCCAATGCATTATAGCCATTTTTTTAAAAAAAAAAACACATTTATAATATCTATAGCAACTTTTAAAATTTATTTTTCTTACAACTTTACGATCAACTTTATAAAATATTGTAGCCATTCAAAACAAATCTTTAATTACCCCCTAGAGCAATTCTGACCTAAAGGGCGAATTATTACGTCCGGTCACCGGACGTCCGGACATCCAATTCAGACGTGCCACATCACCCAGATACACCGGGACCCGGTGTATTTTGGTGATGTGGTGTGTCTCAATTATTGTTCGGACGAATCCGGACACCGAACGTAAAGATTTGCCGTCCTAAAAGCGTTGCTGCAATTATCTCCCTATGTAATTAATCAATCCTAATTACCATAATATAATTAAAATGTTATTGAGCTTAAGGAATCAGGTAAATGAGCAAGACTGCTGAGATGAATCTAATTGCAACATGCCATTAACATGATGATGAAAGAAGACCAGGATCTAACAATCTGGCACTTAGTAGAGGTGGGGAGTACCAATGATCTCCGTACGAGGATTTTAATTAAGGAAATTATTGAATGAATAGTTTAATACTGTATTTTTGTGTGTCGTTATTGTGGGGAGTAAACTAGTCGAGTCCAGCCGAGTAGTGGTCTTATCGAGCATGGCTCGAAAGCTATTTTAAGAAGCAATAAAAAAGCCGTTCCAAACGAAAGCTTTTTTATTGCTTCTTAAAGCTGCTTTCTAATATAAAAATTTTAATTTTTATATTGAGAAGCTGCTTTAAGAAGTCGTAAGAAAGCCGTCCCAAACGAAGCATAAGAAATTATGATAAAAAAGGCAAAATGTATGCGTTGGAATCATGTTTCAGCTATAATTCACCCAAAGGCATCACGTAGCATTATGCATTCATCTCTAAGAAATTCTGGGGCTTCCATGCAGTTCCTTGCCCACGCATTCAAGCACAAACGGAAGCATGCATCATATGCAACAAAAGATTGCCACGAATTTTCAACACTGCAAATTCATGCAGCAAGAAGGATGAAATGTCAGTACGAATATTAAGCTGCAGTTGCTATATGTTGAAATTTATTATGGCATAATGACCAAACCTAGAAGTATAGCCTTGAGATTGATCAGAGAATTTATTTTGCAAAGAACATGTCTGCTCATCTCTCTCTACTGAAATGTTCCTGTATAGAAATCAGTAGAGGCTTCAGTTCTATAGTTGATGGAGGGTGGTCATTTTTAAGGAGTTTCCATTGTTGAAATAATGAAATAAGTAAAAGTTAAACCTTATAAGAGTTTTAGTGTTTTACCGTATTGGCGGGTATGTTGCATCTTGCATCTGGCATTCCAAATCTGAGGAGATTTCAATGCTTTCAGAGCTTGCTTTTGCTGTAAGAAAAAACATTATTTTGTTAGCACATTGAATAAAACACATATATTTAATAAATCAATGGCATCTGCTCCTTAACCTTCTGTACCAGGGATGCTTTCTTCTCTTCCACAATCCATTATTGGAGGAGCACTCGGTGTTCCTAGATCTTCAAACCTTTTGGGCATGTAATCATCATGAAGGTAACACTGAAGTGTAAAAATAAGAAACGTTAATAGGTTAACTTGTGAACATCAAAACATTTAGGAGAGACGTACGGTTGAATCCGTGAAGCCGAAATGCTCATGATTAGAGATATAGGCACTGGAAGTTGAGTTCATATCTATGAAACCACCATTTAAAGGCAGCTCAACCTTTAAGTTATGTTTTGATGGTACTCGGATGAGAGTTCGCCTTAATGTTCTACCTAGCTCTCTTATTGACTCATCACATGTTGATTCAAATTTTCGTTTAATCTCTTCTTCATGGCTCATATTTTTTGCTTTCCAAAATTGATTGGAGTCACTTGACTCCATACCATCCTCTTCGAATGTGTCAGGATAATAAGCACAGTGACCTCCAAAACTGGAGGCCATGCTCTCATTATCATCCTCGGAATCTTCCGCATAAGTACTAGGATGAATTCCCACTAAGCCAGAATGAAATTTCACAGGTGGTAGAACTTTGGGTGATAGGAAGTTGCCGCTTTTGTGAAATAGTGGCGAGTTCGAGATGCTACCCAATGGATATTTCTCTATCAGAGGAGGTCTAGATTCTTGATCTCCATCAGATACCTGCAAAAAAATATATAGTACTACATTATCTTTTTTTCTTAGTCAAATAGCAATGGAAATGATAAAGTTGGAAGAAAAGAGTTGAGCTATATGAAGAATGAAGCCTTATGTCTTGCCAAACATTCGATTTATTTGGAATGATCAAAGAATGCAAAAACAAAACAAGACTGTTTCTAAACCATGGGAAACAATAAAGATAATCAAACCAACAAACACAATTTTTATGAATGAAAGCATTGATGTATTAGACTTACTACTTGCATTTCAGTATAAGCCACTTTAAAAGTACATGAGTAAGTAACTTGGAATTGACTTGGTTGCATGTAGATAGAAAATATCTTTTATGAGAGAAAGTGAAATCATTCTATTTGAGGGATTTTGAGTCTTTGAGAGGCTTTACGGAGCCTAAAATGAATTTCAAGTTTTAACTACATCCAATCAAATGTTGTACCTATAAAATTTCATTGCTTTCCAAAACATTTTCTTCTAACTTTTAAAGCAAGAACTAATGTATGATTTTTCGCCTTCTTCCATGAAATCAGCATAGACCAAGAAAAAAATAATAAACCTGAGGAAGGGACTCAGAGGATTCAACATGAACTAAATGGAATCTGTAAGCTGTAACAGACCACTGTACTTTCTTGCATACGTGGAGTCCACGTCACCTAGCCGTTAGACACCTGTATATCAAAATCCTCTATATATTGTCTCCTGTACCTGTAACTGAATTAAGGAAAAATAATACTTTCTCTTTCTTTCAAGAATCGTGTGCTCTGTGTGTCTCTGTTTACCAGCTCATCATGGTATCAGAGCTTTAACCGATCTCTTTCTCTTCTTCATTCCGCTGCCTTAACCCTCCCGATTCCCCTTCTTCTCCGGCGACGAGCTCAATCCATCTATTCATGGATCAATCCTCCAACAGATCTTCCCCTACCAACTCCATCACCGATGACACGGTGCCTTCTTTCCCTCCGGCAATCCCAGCCTCCTTAAAATTTTTGATGGCAAACATCAAGAAGGTCGTCGCCCCTCCCCTAACCGCCGACAATCACCCTCTTTGGCGCTCTCAAACGCTAAAACTTTTTCGGGCTAACGGCTACCATGGCTTCTTGGACGGTTCCTCCACTTCTCCAGCTCCAACGATCACATATTCGGATGGCAAGATCACTCCAAATCCGAAGTATGACCTATGGCAATTGCTTGACCAGAACCTTGCGGCCGCTTTATATTCTGTCATCTCTCCGAGCATCCTCCCGTACATTCTCTCCGTCGACCATTGCTCGGACATCTGGACCATCCTTGATCGGCGTCTTCAGTCCAGTACGCGATCTCGAATTATCCAGCTCCAGCACGAACTTCACTATCTCACCATGAAAGATAAGACGATGTCCCAATATCTTCTTGAAATTAAGAATAAGGTCGACTCACTCGCTGCCGCCGGAGCGCCCGTAGCCGCAGAAGACATCATCCATTACACACTGGACAGACTTCCGGCATCCTATCAAGGTTTCAAGACGGCCATTCGCACCAATCTTCAACCACTTAATCTCGACGATCTTTACACGTTACTGTGTAGCGAAGAAATCAACCTCGCTCATGAGGTCTCCCGAGAGATGCAATCTCTTCAACTCTCCGGAAATTCTACAGCTCTCGCCGCAACTAGAGGCCGTGGCCGAGGGAGATCCACATCCTCTCGCGGTCGCTACACCTCTACTAACCGCTCCAACCAAAACTACAACGCGGCGGGAAATCGACTCGCCCAATGGTCACATGCCAAATTTGCGGCAAGAATGGACATACTGCC